TTTTGTTTTCCAAATCAAATCTAACGCAGCCTTGAGAGTAATCTCTAGCTCCATTGTTTCCCTCAGGTTCTGCAAGCACTAGTAACAAGAACTGACTGTAAAATTCTTTAAAATATAAGCTTTCCAAACATAACATCAGCAGAATTTTTGACCGACTAAACATATTCAAGGACAACCTTAATATCCTGCAAGTCATCCAGCATATTGCCTTGAATCTCATCCTGCAGAACATCAAACTTCCACACCCACACATCTTCCATCCATGACCCCGTATCTTCCAATGTTGCCAACTTCGTCAACGGTCCATTGTACAAATCAGGAAACATCACCCTCAATGGCTTTCGGTCGAACCAACACGCATGCCAAAATGAAATGGTGCTACCGTTTCCCATACGACACGACAGTAGGTCTAGAAAGTTTCCCGACTCGGTTGACACCCCAATTTTCATCAGATCACGCCACCATTGAGATTCTTTTGCCACTGGTCCTTCTTCACTTTTCAAAAGAACCTGATGTAACAAGTTTCCATACCTTTCCCGTAACATAGGTGACCAAGATGTTGTTGGATTCGCAATCAATCTCCATAACCACTTATACAACAAAGCTTTATTAAAACACAATATCTCCTTTATACCCAACCCACCTTTACATTTTGGTCTACAAATTTTCTCCTAACTTATTCATGAAAATTTTGAAGTATCTCCATCACCATACCAAAGGAAATTCCTTTGAATCGAAGTCAATTTAGATGCAACAGCTGACGGAGTTTTAAAGATGGAAAGGAAGTGAATGGGTAGGTTTGATAGAACATAATTTATAAGAGTTAGTCTTCCTCTAAAATACAATAACCTGCCCTTCCACTTTGCTAGTCTAGCTTTGAATTTTTTCACAACAGGATTCCAGAATTGAATACATCTATGTCTACCACCAACAAGAATACCTAGAAAAAGAAATGGAAGGTTACCTTGTTTACATGCAAGGAAATTCGCAGCAGCATCCAGGTAAGACTTCTCAATTCCCACTCCGAATAAACAACTTTTGCAAAAATTAATCTTCAACCCTGATATAAGCTCGAAACCACGAAGAATACTTTTGATTCCCCAAAGATCTATCTAACCTCCCTCGCATATAAGAATTGTGTCGCCCGTATATTGAACCAAAGAGATAGCATCTGCATTGATAAAACTGAAACCATTGAATAATGCCTCTTGGTTTGCATTTCTAACCAACAAAGCCAAAGTTTCAGCCACAATAGCATACAGGAAGGGAGACAACAGGTCCCCTTGTCTAAGACCCCCTGTAACATCAAAATCTTGTGTAGTTCCTCCATTTACCAAAACTGACATATAACTTTTGAACACTCCCCCACTTATCCAACTTCTCAATTTTGTACTGAAGTTGATCTGCACCAAAATATCTTCAAGAAACTTCCAGTTTTCCGAGTCGTAAGCTTACGCAAAATTGACTTTGAAAAGAAGGCAACTCATATTCTCTCTCTTTGCCAAATCTAAAACTTTTTTTACCAACAAAACACCATTTAACAACTGACGAACTAGAATAAAAGCATTTTAGGTGGGAGATATCAGTTTGCCAATAACCTTGCCTAGGCGCGATGCCATGATTTTAGAGATCAATTTGTAAACACAACCCAGCAGACAAATAGGCCGGTAATTCTGTAACTTTTGAGGGTTGTCCACTTTAGGTATTAACGCTAAGAAAGAAGACACAAAATCCTTGGGAAGAAAGCTAGTCTTGTGAAAATGTTGAACCACATTGAAAACCTCATTCCCAACAACTTTTTAAAAACATCAAATCAAATCCATCAGGTCCAAGACTTTTCTCTCCTACTCTTGCATTTATGGCATCCAAAATATCTTCCTCTGTATATTCTGTAGTAAGTATGTTGTTATCTTCCTCATTTAATTTAGGCAGTGTAGTCAAATCCAATCTTAAAGGCACTCCTTCAATAATCTGAACTTATCTGCAAAAAAACTCTCTAATTCCTTCTTTGATCAATCCCATTCCTTCCAAAACAACACCCTTGGTTCAACATCACAATATTGTTGCACCTGTTTCTTAACTTGAACATAGCATGAAAATATTTGGAGTTTAGATTGCCTTCTTTCACCCATTTTGTCTTTGTTTTTTGTTTTATGAAACTCTCTTTGATTTTCAAATTGGACCAAACTTTAATTTTTTCACACCCCTCTCTCAACTTTAATTTTTTGACAGAAAAACTACAAACCCTCTGAACTACAATTTTTTAGCGGAAACATTACAAATCCTCTCAACTATAATTTTTAATGAAAAAATTGTAAACCCTTTCAACTACAAATTTTGAACGAGAAATATGCAAACCCTCTCAACTATAATTTTTGGACAGAAAAATGATAAACCATTTTTCCAACAATTTTTGTACGAATAAATTGCAAACCCTCTCAACTACAAATTTTGAAAAAAATTTAAACCTACTCTAAACCCTCACCTCACACACAACTACCAAAACACCATTAGAAGGCTAGAGTTGTTGTAGTGAGAAATCTCAAACAATCTATTTATATTTATATTAATACTCAACTCTTTTTTCTTCCCACTATCCTATGTGAGACTTAAATGAATACATTCTTTTACCCAACATATTCCCCCTTAATCAAAGCCTCACATTCTTCATTTTGTTATCAACTCCATCTTCAAAGAGTTTAAGACCATTATGATTAACATATTTGTAAAATCACTACTCTTCAATCTTTTTGTCTTTTCTCCTTCCTCCCTTCCTTGACCGAAACATTTGGTTTTGTTTCTTTCTCCCTTGATCGAAACCTTAACTCTGATATCAATTATTGAGAAAGTAGCAAAAATAAATCTTTATGCACGAAAAATCACACCCACAAAAGAAGAAAAAAGAAGAAAAAAAACACAAATTTCTTATTCAACTTCGAATTTTTACCAGGACAAAGTTATAAATCTTCACAAACAAATTCAATTTTTCAAGGAGAAAAATTGCAAACCCCAAACTACAATTTTTGTACAAAAAAATTACAAACCCTCCCTCAACTTCAATTTTTGAACAGATAAATTCAAACCCTCTCAACTACAATTTTTCAATGAAAAAATTGAAAATCCTCTCAACTATAATTTTTTAATGGTAAATTGCAAACCCTTTCAACTAAAGTTTTTGAACGAAAAATTTGCAAACCCTCTCATCTACAATTTTTAGACGGAAAAATTGTAAACCATTTCACCAACCGTTTTTTTTACGAAAAAATTACAAACCTTCTCAATTACTAATTTTAAAAAAATTGTAAACCCAATTTAAACCCTCATGTCACACAGTTATCCAAACTAAATTACGCCTAGGAGGCTAGAGTTGTTGTGGTGGGAAATCTCAAACTATCTATTTCTATTTATATTAATACTCAATTCTTTTTTTCTTCCCACTACTCGATGTGAGACTTGAATGAATATATTCTTTTACCCAACATACCCTCTCTCCATCAAAGTCTCACATTCTTCACTTTGTCATCGACTTCATTTTCAAAGATTTTAAGACCATTATAATGATTAATATATTTGTAAAATCACTACCTTCAAACTTTTTGTCTTCTCTTCTTCCTTCCTTGATACAACTTTTGCTACTCCTCATTCCTCCCTTGACCGGAGGTTTTCTTTCTTCTTCCCTTGATTAGAACCTTAACTTTGATACCATCAGTTGGGAAAGTAGAAAAAATAGATCTTTATGCTCACGGAAGCACACCCACAAAAGAAGAAAAAAGAAGCAAAAAAAATTCACAAATATCTTATTCAACTTCGATTACAATTTTCGAACGGAAAAATTACAATCTCTCTGTCAACTACAATTTTTGGATAAAAAAATTGCAAACCCTCTCAACTACAATTTTTCGACGGAAAAATGGTAAATCCTCTCGACTTCAATTTTTAAATGGAAATTTTGCAAACCCTCTCAACTATAAATTTTCATTGGAAAAGTTGCAAACTCTCTCAAATAAAATTGGCTTAATTGCAACTTTGATCCCCTATAAATTCTTTTATTTTCCACTACTCATACGAGACTTGAATAAATACATTAATTTACCTACATTATCTCTAAACTATTTTGCTTGATGTTACCTTAATACAAGAGACCCTCGACATGAGAGTTTGAATACCCGATAGAGTTTGGAGTTTCCGTGTCAAATTATTCTTCTACAATCCCTCACAAAGAATCATCATCACACTTTATCGAAAACAAACTCCTTGATAACTCTAAACTCTAACTGAAAATGAAAAATCTCATCGAAAATTAGTATCTTTCATTGAAGATTTCTACAAGATTAACCACCCACTATCAAAACTCTACAAAACAAATGTATTTTAACCAACACATTTTCATTTAGTTGTGCATTTTGCTTAAAAGTTCTAGAACATTTGGACCATATCTTCTTCTCTTGCTCCAAAGTCAAATTTCTCTAGAAAAAACATTTTTCAATGGGTAGAAAATAATTCGATTATCGAGGAATCTCGATTTCATCATTTCTAAATTTAGCGAATTACTACGTGTCAATGAAATGTCTAGTATATGTTTGATGATATAGTACACAATTTGTTGGATAATATGGACGAATATATATATATATATATATATATATATATATATATATATATATATATATATATATATATATATATATATATATATATATATATATATATATATATATATATATATATATATATATATATATATATAAAATAAATAACAGGTGTAGTAAATGTAAGACATAAAGTTATAATTTTTATTAAGGGTTGGAATGGAACAAAAACAGAAGCATTGATATTCCAACGACAAGATAGTGGGACATGGAATCATGGGATTTATGATTCTTATGAGAAAGAGTTTCACTAATGCTACATCAATGGCACTACATATAGAAACGTCAATTTAAATATTAAAATTACATGACAATTAGAATTAGAAATTCTTCATTATTGACACCATTTGGTCACTGAAGCTTCATGTTTCTAAACCTGCAAACAAACGAAGATAAGAGATTTAACACTGCTGCGTGCTGAGAACTGAATTAGAGACTGTGAAGTTAAAAGAATGTACCTTTTCTCGGCGTCGAAGGTAGCATTGTTGTTGTAGTTTGGGAATGGAACATGACCTGATTCAATGTGCCTAATGTCCCTAACAAGAAGTTCATAGTGTCTCTTGACATCTTCAGCAGTCTTCCCTCCTCCAACAGCTTTCGCGACATTCGACCAACGGTCAGGCGTGTCTTTATCAAACACAGCTAATGCCTTTTCAAATGCTTTATTCTCCTTACTACTCCATGAACCAGATGCTGACATGGATGCCATTTCTTGAAAATGTGGAAGATTGAGTGTGAGAATGAAAGTGAAGGAAGATGGAAGCAAAGTTTGGTGGTTTATATAACAAGAATTTGTATGATTTGTATTCTCAAGAACCACATGATAGAGGAGGACCAAATTGAGGAGCAATATTGGAGAATCTTCAACCAGCTAAAGAAAATGGAAATATGTAAAATAAGTGAATATATAGATAGGAATAGGACTACTCAAATGTTGTATAACTTTTTTTCTCCCACTACTTTTCTTGATAAAAGTCATTTGGTTAAAATTTTACTTTCATTTTAAGCTTGTGGATTTATGAGACATAGAAGACTTTGATTGATTGATTTTTAAAAACTAAAAAATGTGTCTTTTTTTTAGATTTTCTCCTAACTATTTATATGGATGGATTATAGGATGTTATCGGTAGAATATCGTATTATCTTTTAGGTATTATTTTATAATATTTTTATTTATTTTTTATGAGTTTTGTTGTTTATCGTAAAGTGTATTTGATACATGTGGGGAAATACACAATTTATTGCAAGTATAGTAGTCAAAATTTCTATCCAACTTAAAGGATCGGAGGATTTTACGATCCTGTAACTCCCTTTTATAAGTATGGTTGGAATCGTTTTTTTGGAAGGCACAATTAGAATATCTATGAAAACAAGTAGAAACATTGGAATTGTCGAGAACGCGCCCAGAAATTTAAGTTTGCAGGTCAAGTTTGTGACCTGAATTTTGAATATTACAATCCGATTTAGAATTTAGAAAATACCCGAAAAAAATATTTGATTATTTTTGTAAAGACATTACTTGAAAGTTATGCCTAATTAAAATAATAATTTAATATTCTTTTTAATTTTGTATCTTAATCTCAAAGTTTATTTTGGTCCTTTAACTTTAAAAATGTTCATTTTGGTCTATTATGTCTTCAAAACGTTTCATATAAGTCTTTTTTATATAATTAGCGACTGATTTTTGAATTTTTCCATCGCTATAAGAACAAAAAGAACAAAAACACCTATATAAAATGAACTCCAAAATTAAAATACAAGACCAAAAAAAAATATTAAGGCTGAAATAATTAATCAATACACACTCACTAATGAATAATTTGTAGAACTTTCTAATACACAACCATAATTAAGGAAACTTACCGGATTCATATCCTCACTCCATCTCACTCGTTAAATGTGTAAAGTTAAGAGACGGAAAAGTTATTAAAAACGTAGTTTTTGATAAAATAAATTGGAATAATATTATTATTTGTCTGAGGGGTGTGACACCTCTCACTAAAGTGCTTAGTTTTGTTGTTTCAAATAAATAAAAATCAATCACAAAATTAATCTATGAGACAATGGATCATACAAAAAAGAAAAATCAAAAGAGTTTTAGTTTTACATTTTTGACTTCTTAGTATCAAAGGTCGTTGATCTTCAACATACTTTTATACCATTCGTGTTTTACATTTTTGGCTTCTTAATATCAAAGGTCGTTGATCTTTTACATAAAATATAAAAACTCATGTATAACAATGTTATGTCTTTTAAGACGATGAATATAATTTTTAAAATAATTAATTTTTCATAAAAAATAAATAGATGTACAACTTTTTTTGGCCTTCCATTTATGAGCAATCTTTATTTTTTATAAATATTTTAATATAAAAAAATTATATTTTGGTTTATTGCATTTCTCTATTTTATGTTACTTTAATATATTAATTTTTCAAACTATCTATTTTATATGATATAATATAATAAATATTTTTTTACACTAATTCTAAGTATCAATTAAAATCAATTTTTATTCATTCAACTAAATCAAATTAATAGTTTATACACTTCAAATTTTGAAAAAATTTACCTTAATTTCTCTCTTTTTATTAAAAAAAAATAAATACTTCCATTAATAATTTTAAAAATAAATAATTATTATTAAAGCTTTACTAATAACTTTTTAAAAAAATATATTGTATAAAGATTATCTTTTGACAACTCTTTGTAATTCTGAAGAATTTGAAAATGGAGTTGCACTCATTATTCATTTTTTGTTTATATTTGTGTTCATACGACTCTTTCTATCCTAAATGTTTTACATATTTGATATTTTCACACAAATTAAAAAAAATATGATAAATAAAAGAAATAAATTGAAATATATATATATATATATATATATATATATATATATATATATATATATATATATATATATATATATATATATATATATATGTATATATATATATATATATATATATATATATATATATATATATATATATATATATATATATATATTTTTTTTTTTTTTTTTTCAATGTTAGACTTTTTAACCCATATTAAAAAAAAATGTTTGTGGTTGAGATTCCATTCCAAGAAGCCCTTATCAAGTAGGTGATGAAAGAGTCTAACTTTAATTTTATTCTTAGTTTTGCATGAAGAGGAGGGTCCAACATCTCAATCCAGTGAATCCCATTTCAGGATATATCAGAGGCTAATTGACGTATGCACCATACAAGCCACAATATCTTTGTCTATTTGCATAGCAAAATAAAAGCTTTGTGTTGTGTGTTTTCACCATTGCAGGTGACGTTTCTAGGTTTTGTTTTGTTTGTTTCTACTGAACAACATTCCAAACTTCTAGCTGGCTTCTTGTGTCCGTACAATTATTTATGTTTTCTATGAGTCCCAAAAGGAAAATGCATGGCTTTAAATGGTTGTTATGGTGATACTTGTGGCATGTCGCCATCCTTTTGATTGTGGATAATTGAGATCAAATACATCTGAGGTGAGGTGGTATCTATCGGAGTCTTGTGAATATCTTCTGCAACTAGAGATTAATCACTCGAGTCGGGAAGAATTACAATAAGTAATAGAATTTGAATTTAAGATTTCTGGTTAAATTAGAAGAGACACTTACCATCTAATCCAAGAGCTTTTTACGTTTCAGAAATCAAAAACTAGTTTTTACGATCTAAATTATGGTCGTAGACCTTTGATTTTGTTGGTGTTTGTTGAAATGATATATATTAAAGAAGTCTCGTGTTATTTAGTAATGTAAAGGAAGAGAGATATTAAGACTGTAGTGATAGATCGGTTCATAATCTTATCATTTCTATTGATATAGAAATCAAGAATATAACTCTAAAATAATCTTTATGAGTCGATATTCCATCAACTTGTATCTGTTAAACTCATATTAGAATTCAATTAGAGAATAAAAGCGAAAGCGTATCTGAATTTGTCATTGGGAATCACTGAAGGTTTGCAGGTATTTGTTCTTCCAATTTGTATAGTTTCTTTATGGCTCATTGAATTTCCTCTAATGGGGATGAAGAGAAAAATTTTCTAATGAGCCGTCTTCACATTTTCTACAAATAGAAATCATAACCCCTATAAATAATCTTAGGATTATTTCTTAGTTTTCAATATTCTAATTTGACCCCTCATAAAATTAGATATTGACTTACGGTATCTGTAAAATAATTGCATATTTCATAATATTTATGTTTTTAGCCACATACTTATTATTAATTAGACCACTGTAGTTTTTGCTAATTGAATAATGACCCTAACAATTGCAATATTACATTTGTGACTCAAAAAATTCTAACAATCTCTCACTGGTCACATAAGTAACTTTACACATGTGTTAGACTTTATGAGCTCAAATTTTACCATTATATTCTTTAGCATATCCAAAATATCTCGTCCATTAGTCATATCAATATACAGAGTCAATGTGATTTTCGTTATATGAATCATAACTAAACTCTACAATGATCACTAATAGTGACACAAATAAATGACATATATCCATCATGAAATGTGCAGCATGAAAATCACATGAAGTTGCTCTATGTATATCGACTTTCAACTTGTCCTACTTTACTTTAGTGAGATCATTCAATAACTTTATTGTACAAAACATAAACTACTAAATATCAAACTTTATAAATTGGAAAAATATCCAAAATATTAGTATGCATACATAATACCAAACATAGAACATAAAATTCATAATCGACTAACTCTCACTAAACCAAAGACTCCTCTAATGATAAAACACTCATGCGAGCAGTGTGCTCATGAAAGACCTTGGGTAGAAAACCTTTTGTAAGAGAATTTGTTATCATGGAGTTTTTCCCCAAGCGTTATATGGATAATTGTCCATTTTGTACTCTTTCCTTAACAACTAGAAATTTGATGCCAATATGTTTTGACTTGGTCAAGTTCTTATTATTGTTAGAATACATGACGATTGATTTGTTGTCACAATATAACTTAATTGGCCTTTCAATTCCTTCCACAATTCGCAGCCCAGTGACAAGATTCCTCAATCAAATCTCATGATTAGATGCCTCATAACATGCTAAAAACTCTATTGCCATGGTGGATGAAGTCGTAAGAGTTTTCTTAGCACTGCGCCAAGAAACTGCACCACCAGTCAACAGGTAGATATAGCCTGAAATGGATCTTTTACTATACTGGCATCCAGCAAAATCAGAATCAGAGTATCCAGTGATCTCCAGCTGGTTTGACCTCCAATATGTGAGCATATAATCTTTTGTTCTCTTTAAATACCTCATAACCCTTTTGGTTGCTTTCCAATGATTCATTCCTGGATTGCTCAAATATCTTCCTAACATCCCAACTATGAACACAATATCCGGACATGTACAACGAAGAAGAAGAAGAAGAAGAAGAAGAAGAAGAAAAAGAAGAAGAAGAAGAAGAAGAAGGAGGAGAAGGAGGAAGAGGGGAAGGAGGAGGAGGAGGAGGAGGAGGAGGAGAAAATTGTTCAAATTTCATTATAAGATGAGTAATAGGCATAGAAGGTCAATATGGGAGAAGTGGTGCCTTGTTTATGTATGGCGGTTGCATATGAGTTATATATCTATTCAATAAAACGAGAGTTAGAATGTTTAATTTTCAATAACTAAGTTTATTGGTATGTTTTTTGAACGGTGGAAACTCAAATAGGCGAAATAAGCGAGT